ATAAAAAAAAAAGGAAACCTCACATATACAAGAAATATTAGAAAATGCTTTGCACTTTGTGTTATCAATTGGAAAAATGCACAGATGAACTGAGGCAAAGGAGAAAACAAAGAAGGCAAAGCAAGAATGAAAAGTAAGGTTTCCACATAGAACACAGACCATATGGGAAATAACCAGCAGCTGTGCACGGCCAGAGGCTGGAGGGAGAAAAGCAGCAGACTGTTGTGACTGAAGAGAACAGCAGGGGCCAAACATCAGGCTCCGAGGGCCATGTTCAGGAACATGGATGATATACTGAGAACGGCAGGTAGACTGTGACAGGCTTCAGTCAAGGGAGTAGGAGGAACTAATTTGTGTTTTACAGATTATTTTTGTCTGCAGTAAAGATAATGGATTTCAAGAGGGCAAGAGTGGAGCAAGAAGAAAGAGTTAGAGGCTGATGTAACATATTTGGTGACAGAGGATGGCCTGAAGCGAGGAAGTACAGAAGAATGGACAGATAAAAAGGGTATTTAAAAAGTGAAATGGTCGCCCTGGCCGGTTTGGCTCAGCGGTTGGAGCGTCAGCCTGCGGTACAGAGAGACCTGGGTTCGGTTTCCGCTAAGGGCACGTACCTCGGTTGCAGTTTGTCCCCGGCCCTGGTTGGTCGTGCGGGTAGCAGCCACTCCATGTGTCCCTTCACATCGATGTTTCTCTCTCTCTCTTCCTCTCTTTCCCTCCCGCTCTATCTGAACAAAAAATGGAAAAATGTCCTCGGGTGAGGATAAAAAAAAAGTGAAATGGTCAAAACTTGGTAACCAAATGGGCAGAAGGGGTGAGAGAGGAGTCAGAGACAGTGACCAGCATTCTGGCCTGTGCCAATGAGTGGACAGAGCCAGGAACGGAAGGATGAAAGCTGCTTTTCTGGGAAAGATGTTTAAAGTGGAACATTCGAGTGAAGATAACTGGCAGATGGAGATATGTGATCATCAGCCTCCACGTGGCTAAGGAGTAATAGAGCAAGAATTGTACCTAGGGCTCACCAACATGTATGTGAGGTAGAGGAAGGGGAATTGAAAAAGATCAGGAAAAAGTAGGCATAGAAGCAGAAAGAAAACCAGGAGAGGATGGTATCATGGACACCAAACGATGAGTCAGTGTCAAAAGCTGCCAAGGGGTCACTGAGACAGGGACTTAACACTAGGTAGTTTCTGGCAACCATGGCAAAAACAGAAGCAGTAGGATGTAATGGGAGCAGAAGGGGCGATTCTAAATCCTATGCCAGTGAATTACAAATGCCTACATAGTCTAGACAGTTCGGATAACTTGTAAAAAGTAAACCATAAAATGACCTATAAACACATGATAACAGGTGAAGCAGAAAAGGAGATTTATCATTTCTTTACAAACCACTATCAACCATCCACAACCTCAACAACAAAAAACTGAAATTCCTAAAATATTAACCAATAAGACTACTCATTCCAAAGTTTGGGTGCTGATTTTGGCATAAGTAACCTCAAAAATGCCAAGCCCATGAACTTCAACAGAGCTGGACCAGGGTCCCTAAAACCCTCCCCCTGTTCCCAGAGGCCACCCCCTCCCAATCAGGCCAGAAGGGCTTGAATACAAGGCCACAGAAGAAGCTAGAAGTCAGTGAGGCTGCCATCAGCATGTTAAAATTGCAATGTGGGGGGAATTAGTTGCCCTGGCCTACCCTAGCACATGCTGAATTCATATTAATCCCCTTCCATCAAGAACCTTCCCTTCAGATCCCCTCACCTACATGACTAATTCAGGTTGGCATTTTGCTTTCTGGGATGTGGAGTCCAGCCAAACCAAGTTGACAGGCATAAGAAGGAAATCTAAGAACTAAAGAAAGAAAAACACACCAGCCATGAAAACCACATACTGCTGTCCCAAAAAAGGCCCCTTGCTCTCATCTTAAACAGAAGGCAATGCTCCAAACAGGAGGGAGGGAACCTCCACTGATGCCAAACAAACATTAAGGGAATCAGACTGTTGCAGATTATTACAATGGACTGTGAAATCCATTCCAAGTCATTCATATTACAGAAAAGAGAAGCAACTTGCTCCAAGGTCACACAGAGTTTGGCTGGACCTGGGTGAGCACCTGTCTGGTTTTTTCTGCACTATACCATAAGTCCTTCTAATGACCAATCGCTGCCAAATACTTATGTCCAGCCTGACTCTCCCCAAAGCTCGAGACTCATATATCCTACCATCTTTGGCACCTCCCCTTGGCTATCTCAAAAGCTCAAATTCCAACATCCAATGCTGAACTCATGATCTTTCCCCAATACTCCCAACACATTTTTCATCCAAGGCTTCTTAGCTTAACAGATGACATCACCATCCTTCCAGTTACTGAGCCAGAGATTAAAGAAGCATGTCCAGTGTTTGAACTCCAGCCCTACCACTTCCTACCTGTAACCTTGGGAAAATTAAAGAAAGTCCTTTAAACCTCAGGTTTTAGCATCTGAAATAATGGGATAAAAACAGGAATTACCTCATAAAATACCTGTGAGCAGTGGAAGAGATGATGTGTATAAAATGCTAACTAAGCACATAGAAAATGTCTGTGTGTGCAAGTTTCCTCTTTTTTGCCTTCTTCCTCCAATCCTACCCCTTCACCTGGTTAACACCTATGAATCCTTCTCGTTTCAACTCAAATGTTACTCCCTGCTGGAAGCCTTCCTTGATCACCCCTGCTAGGTTATAACCACCTCCCCTGCCTAGTTACCCTCAAAGCACAGTGTAATTTCCATTCACATCACACTGTGATGGTTTAATTAACGACTATCTCCTCCAATAGCCTATAAGCTTCATGAGAGCAGGGAATGGGAGTTTTTTACCTCATTTCTGTATTCTCAACACAGTACTTGGCACATAACAGGTGTTTAGTAAACATTAGTTGAGTGAAATGCCCAAGAAGCATGTTTATCAGCAGAAAAATGGAGCTAGAGATTCAAAGAGAAGTCATAGGACACCAATGCAAGTGAGAGCTCATGGGTATCCCATCCAGGGAGCCAGGTAGAAAGGGCCTAGTAAGCCTCATCCAACGACTGCAAAGTTCATGACTTACTGCCTGTTTGACCGTCATTCTAACCGTTCAGAATTTGGCCTCCACAGTGCTAGAATATACTCTGCATAAACATGAATAGCCACATCCCAAGAATTTTTTAGATGAACCCCAGTCCCTCTGATACCTTTCCTAATATAACCGTCACTTCACCATGGATGTGATTCTTGTGTTTAAAGACACATATTTTTGTACCACAGGACCTCTAAATGCAGCCAACTACTACATCTGGGGCTTATCTGAAGACACAACTGTCTGTTCTAACTCAGGGGTAAAATTGAGCTCTATGGGACCTAGGAGAGAATGGCATCCTCTCCAATGTGGTACCAATAAGGGATTTTCAGGAATATTTTACTACACCCAATGTCTATCTATGCAGCAACTTTAGAACCCAGCCTCCTTGTAACATGGAACTCTAATGTATAGCAAAGTATTTTAAAGTGCAAGTTTTGACATTGGACAGGCCTGGGTTCAAATTCTGCTTCTGCCACTTAGAAGTTATGAATAAAACCTTAGCCTGGCCTGTGCAGTTCAGTGGACTGAGCATCATCCCATGGACTGAGAGGTCCTGGTTCGATATCTGGTCAGGGCACATGCCCAGGCTGTAGGCTCGATCCCCAGTAAGGGGCATGCAGGAAGCAGCCAATCGATGTTTCTCTCTCACATTGATGTTTCCATCTCTCTCTCCCTTCCTCTCTCATTCAAAAATCAATTAAAAAACATTTTAAAACCTTAAACCCATTACTTAACCTCTCTAAGCCAGTTAACTCATCTATACTAATAGATATAACAGTACTTAGATATTATAGTTCCAAGAAGCATTAAATATAAATACCTAACATCTGGCTAAATTGTTGTCTTTAAGAAAGTTCTTTGTACACAGAGTACTAACACCTGAGAAAATAAAGTTCTGTACCATGCCTAACACAGCGCCCATTCCCAATGGGTATTCAGTAAACCACACTCTTCCTTAGCCTTTGTCTGTTCAGGTCCAGACACCAGCCCACTTTCTTATGGGAGTATCTGACACCACCCTGCTATTTTGAGACCTGCCTGCGCATAAATGATCCTCTTCCCAATTTGAACAGTTGAAATGTTATGCAAACCACCCTACTTCTTCTTGTCTTTACGGTCAAACAGTGAACCAAGTTTTTTCATAACTTCTCTCATGCAGGCAGGCACTCGCGTGCATGTTCACACGTGCACACGCGCGTGCACACACACACACCCTCTTTTGAGAATATGACTTCCTCAGCATAAGACTCAGAGAAAACAGTGGCAGACACAGGGAAAAAAAAAAAAAAAGCTCTTTATCCCAAGAAAAACACTGGAGTAAGAAAAGCTAAAATGTTCTAAGTAATAATATAGCCAGGAAAACTGAAATATCACTTGTGCTTCTACCATATTTCTTTTGTATCAATTACATATGGGAAAGAGTAGTTGCTGCCACCTGTAAAATAACTGTTCTCCAAACAGCATTGAACTAGGTGCTGAGAGAGAATACAGAACTACTTCTGCCTTCCAAAAGCTTTCAATGTAATTGAAGGCACACAAAAAATGGCAACAGCTCACTATGCACTGGATGAGTGATAATAAAGAATAAATAAGGCAGAAGTACTATATAGGCTGTTTTGGAAAAAGTAAACCTCTCCTGAAGAAGGTACCTAATGATTAAGTAGATGATGGTGGAAGGGCATTTTAGACATACCAAAGACCAAGAACCGGCCTGGATTAGTCTAGAGACACTGAGAAATATACATATTAGGAAAAAAGTTGGAAAATATACAAGCAACAGAACAAGAAGTACAATCTTTGCGTGAGGGGTCAGTTTATATCTTCCTTGAAAAAAATAAAAGAGGGCCCATCAAAAGCCATGTCCCCAAGTCTCCCAGTGGCATAACCCCACAATATCACTTACTCGGATAAGGGAAGCCTGATGCCGAGAAGGCTTGGTTCCTTGGTTCCCTGATGAGGGTCCCTCAGGCTGGACAAGGGGCTGTCTAGCTTCATAAGGAGCTGAAACAGGAGCAAAAGTCAGCATGAACACAAAGATTCCACCCAAAAATTATGACTTCACACTCCAACTAATACAGTGTCTGCTCTTAAGGGCAGAATTAGCAAAGGAATTACAGTGTACGTGCATAGGGCCATCTAGGACAACCCAATCTTGGTGCCCCTGTGTATAATTTAACTGAACAATCTAAAGACATCTGATCAATTTATGATAAGGGAAGAAAATATTTACATCAGGTTAAGATTAGAAATAAATTGTAAGTGTGAAATTGTAAGAACTTAAATTGGGATAAAAAACAGTAAGAGTAGTTAGAAAAGTGCCACGTTCTAAATGTTCAAATTCTTAACATAAGGTAAATTCTATATATACCCTACTGTTTAAAAGTATTTTGTTCGGCTGGGCTGGTGTGGCTCAGTGGATTGAGCGACATCCCATGGACTGAGAGGTCCCGGTTCTATTCATGGTCAGGGCACATGCCTGGGTTGCGGGCTGGATCCCTAATGGGGGGTGTGTAGGAGGCAGCCAATCGATGTTTCTCTCTCACATCGATGTTTCTCTCTCTCTCCTTTCCTTTCTCTCTAAAAAAATCAATAAAAACATATTTCAATATAAATAAATAAATAAGTCTTCCATTCATATCTCCCGACAAAAGAGCAAGAAAATGAATATGCATTTTGAACATTAAGTCTCAATAATTTATTTTGTTTGTTTTTGAAAAATAAACAGCACTGTCTTCTTTTCCTTTTGTAAAGAGTAAAAAATCAAGTTGAAAAAATACAAAAAAGAATAAATGTATTTTATATTTATTATTTTATTATTTGATAACCAAACTAAATATAATTTTGTTACCTTTAAGTAAAGGTTTTAACTTTAGCAGCCAATGTACAGAAGAAAAGATCTGAATGATCAAGAATCATATGAAAGGGTAATTAGCAACATTAACCATCAAAGAAATGCAAATATATCCCCTATTTTTTTCTCAGAGAGGTTAAATGTCTTATATTTGTTTAAAAATACAAAATAAAGTGGATTTTTACTAGTAAAAAAAAAAAGAAAAGAAAAGGTTGTAAGCCACAAAAATGAATGCGTTTTTTCATTATTTTTATTTCCAGAACATTTAATGACCTTGCCAATGGGGCAGAAAAATAGTTAAACATAGCCCTGGCCAGTTTGGTTCAGCGGTTAGAGCTTCGGCCTGCGGTCCAGAGACCCGAGACCCGGGTTCAGTTCCCGCTAAGGGCGCGTATTTCGGTTGCAATTTGTCCCCGGCCCTGGTTGGTCATGTGGGTGGCAGCCACTCGATGTGTCCCTTTCACGTCGATGTTTCTCTCTCTCACTCTCTCTCTCTCTCCCCCACCCTCCCTCTCCCTCTCCCTCCCTCCCACTCTATCTGAACAAAAAATGGAATAATGTCCTCTGGTAAGGATAAAAAAACAACAAAACATAACGAGGTAGTATAGCGTTCCAACAGAAAAGAGAAATTATCACCCAAGATGAAATCATTTCTGATTTGTGGGGGTTAACAGTTCGAGCTTTTGGAAGTATGTAAAGAAACAAAATGCTTTCTTTCTGTAGCTTCCTTATAAATAAAATTAAGTAGAGACAGCAGAGCAGCCTGTTAGTGCATCACCTTTAGCATACTGTGATCTTTTTAAAACAAAGAAGCCATCACCCTGGCTGGTTTGGCTCAGCGGTTAGAGCATTGGCCTGCAGACCAAGGGGTCATGGGTTCAATTCCCGGTCAAGAGCACATACCTGGGTTGCAGGTTTGATACCTGGCCTTGGTTAGGGTTGGGTGGGAGGCAATCAATCAATGTGTCTCTCTTACATTGATGTTTCCCTCTCTCTCTCTCTCTCTCTCTCTCTCTCTCTCCCTTCCTCTCTTCTTCTCACCCTCTCTCCCTCCCTTTCACTCTATTTAAAAATCAATGGAAAATTTTCCTCAGTGAAGATTAACAACAACCAAAAAAAAAAAGAAGGTATAATAACAGCACATCAAGAATAACAAACAGCCCTGACCGGTTTGGTTCAGTGGTTTGGCTGGTTTGGCTCAGCAGTTAGAGCATCAGCCCTCATGGACCAAAGGGTCTCTGATTTGATTCCAGGTCAAGAGCACAAATCCCTTTCCATGGTCAGGGTGCTATGGGAAGCAACCAATGGATGTTTTTCTTTCTTTCTCTCTCTCTCACTCTCTCCCTCCCTCCCTCCTTCCCTTCCAGGTACCTAAAAATCAATGGGAAAATATCCTCGGGTGAGGATTAACCAAAAAAGAGAGAGAGAGAGTAACAAACAACTCCCAGGCTCACATCTGCTTATTGTATTTCATCCAAGAAACTGGAACACAAGACTGTAACACATTAAAGCATCAAATCACTTAGTGAATATTCAAACTCTGCTAAGAATGATTAAACATATAAAAACTGCAAAAGAAACATACACAGAGAGCACATAATCCCGATTTTAAAAATAAATCTCAGCTGGTAGTCAGGTGTTGTCTTCAAAGAAGGATTTTTAAGATTATTCCACTTTGATGAAACACCGAATTAAACTCTTAATGCCAGAAGGTTTGGATGACAATAAGCTGTACCATGGCTGGGATACTAGCAGTCAAAAGCTTCTCTGGGAAGCTAATCCCACATGCCTCTGGTTCTCCTCAGAGAGAAGGAGCTTCTTCTACTGCTGAGGAAGAAACAATGTGGGGGAGGCTATTTGGCCCATGGCTCCAGTCTCTTATCTACAAGGACCTTCTTCCCTTGGAAGAGACAGACCTATCATCAGTAAGATGAATGAAGACTCAGCCACATGGGGGATCATTTTTGGAAAGGCCTGGCCCCAAGGGCAGATTTTCTCTTCCTACTCCATGGGAAGCCTGGGTAGGCCACACCTGCCTGTGACTGGAAAGGTGAGTGTCTGAAGCCCATGCAGTCACAAATCTGAGCCACGTGCTCTAATCAGCTCTATTAGTACCACAGCTGATATTCAGGCCATCATCAGTCTGACTCCTGTCTCATTCTGCAACTGAATCTGAACTCAGGAGGTAAAAAGGTGGGTATTACTTATTGCCTCTGCTCTGCTTCCTTCCGAATAAAACACAAAACATGCAACTCAGTGCAAAAAATATTACTTCTTAGATCCCCTTACAAGAGGTTTAATAAGGAACTAGAAGTACCATCTTTCTCCAAGAATAGGAATACAAAACAAACCCTAAAGATTTCATTACTGTAAGATTCAATGTCAAACTAGAATAATTTGACATGAGTAACTTCACAATAAAGACTCTACATCTGCAGTCAACCCAGTGAATGAAAGCCAGAGGATAACTTTCAAGAATACTTAAAAATTTCACAAATAGCCCTGACCAGTTTGGTTCAGTGGTTAGAGCATCGGCCCGCGGACCCGAGAGACCCGGGTTCGGTTCCCACTAAGGGCACGTACCTCGGTTGCACTTTGTCCCCAGCCCTCTCTGGGGTCATGTGGGTTGCAACCACTCGATGTGTCTCTCTCACATCAATATTTCTCTCTCTCTCTTCCTCCCTCACTCCCTCCCACTCTATCTAAAGGTAAATGCAAAAATGTCCTCGGGTGAGGATAAAAAAAATAATAATTAAAAAAAAAAAAAAACCTGGAAAAATTCCACAAATAAAACAAATACCAGATTCTAAACACACACACACACACACACACACACACACACACACACAAATACTAGGGACCATTTAAGCACCTACAGTGTGCCAGAAATTGTGGTAGGCACAGATGCTTACATTTTTCATTTGATCCACAAAGAAAACCTCTGAGGTAGAGATTATTATATTTTATAAAGGAAACTGAGGCCCAGAAAAGTGAAATACCCATAGTCACACAGGCTGGAAATGGACAGAAATGAGAAATGTAGGCCCACCAAGTGTACTTTTAGGGCCAACAGATGAACAACACAGCCCATTTTCTTAGATGAACAGATACCTAGAATTGATACATCAGAATAAAATGTATAAGAAAAAGCAGAACAGCCTGGCCAGTGTTGGCTCAGTGGTTGAGCATCAACCCATGCACCAAGAGGTCGCTGGTTCAATTCCCAGTAAGAGCACATGCCCAGTGGGGGGCATGCAGGAGGCGGCCAACTGATGTTCTCTTTCATCGATGTTTCTCTCTCTCTCCCTCTCCCTTCCTCTCTCTCTAAAATAAATAAATAAATAAATAAATAAATAGCAGAACAGACATACTGATTTTGAAATAAGACAAATATCAGAAGAAACAAGTGAAAGAGTTGAAAAGTGGTTGCCTCTAGAGATCAGAAACAGGTTCAGTGGGAAGGAGAACAGTTGTATTTACTATAGGCATCTAAATATTATTTAACTAGATGCATGTATTACCATGATTTAATCATTATTTTTTAATGCGGATAGCATTATCTGCCTCTGAGGGTTGTGGTAAGAAGAAAATAATGCACACAAAACCTCAACACGATGCCTGGCACATAAGTCTTAAGCAATGAACATTAGCTACAGCTACATCTAGCAGATGAGACTAGCAAGAACCCAGGAGAGAAGCTGAAGAGGGGCTCTGAATTATAGACTGGTCTGATGATGGTCAGTCTGATTTAAAATATACTCAACACATACCCCACTAGCTAGGAATCATGGCAGAATATTGGACAGGGAAATGACCTCAGAAAAATATATTACAAGAAAATTATCCCATACCCTGGCTGGTTTGGCTCAGCGGTTAGAGCCTCAGCCCACAGGCCAAAGAGTCCTGGGTTCGATTCCAGCCAAGGGCATGTACCTTTGTTGCGGTTCAACCCCAGCCCTGGCTGGGGTCATGTGGGAGGCAATCAACATTGATGTTTCTCTCTCTCTCTTCCTCCCTTCTGCTCTATCTGAAGATAAAAATGGAAAAATATCCTTGGGAGAGAATTAAAAAAAAAATTTATCCCAGTAGCAAGACTTCTTTCTGAAAAGGTGGAAACTAAAAATAACTCTAGAATAGTTAGTATCAGAGTCACTAAGGCTTAACAGGTTTTAGATATGCTACGGTCTACCAAAGGGAAGATGTAGTACAGGAATCGGAAAGAGAATCTTGAGTCCATTGAATGGGTTAATAACATTGTGGAGGCAACAAAGGAGAGTTAAGAAACAGATGAGGGGGCAAACACAGAAGCCTGAAGAGAATTTGAATTCCAAAAGCGTAGGAAGAGAGAAAAGGAAGACGTGATCTTCTCTTATTTCTTGACCTAAAGATAAGTGACAGAAAAGGAAGCAAATAGGTAAAAATAAAATAAAATAAAAAATAAAATCCTTCGGAGGGAAATCCTTCGGAGGGAAATCCACCAACATCATAAAATCAGGAATTAACAAGCCTTGACATGAATAGTATCAATTAGAAGCAAAACTCACAAGATGGACCCAAGTTGCAGATAGAAAATTCTCCCTTCCTTTGACTTAGGTAGGTGGAGAAGTCTACATGAAAATACCTGTAAACATTTTATTTATGAATGACTTTGTTCCCACCTACAGGAACCTAACAGCCTCCTAATTGATGGTTAGACCCAGGAAACGCCTTGAGAAAAAGGAGACTGTTCACTCAGACTCCTCTCTATGGGTATGATGTCCAAAGAAGAACCCTCTAGAAGAGCAGCTCTTCAGTCTAAGGATCATAATGTAGGAGAAAAACCAGGAAGAGATAACAGAAACTTAGAAAACAATGTTTCAAGAATGAAAGAGTGACCATAAAGAGATATCACTTCACATCTAACAGAATGGCTAAAATTAAAAACACAGGAAATAGAAACCACTGAGAGTACCAAGTGCATGAACTCTCATATATTGCCGGTGAGAGTATACAGCCATTTTGGAAAACTCTTTGGCACTTTCTCATACACCTATACTAAGTCCAGCAATTCCACTCCGAGGTGCCAGGAAAATTACAACATATGTCACAAAACACACACACACACAAATGTTCATAGTATCCTTATCCATAACAACCAAATACTGGAGACAACCCAAATGTCCATCAACAGAAGAATGGTTCATCAAACTGTGGTCCATTCATATGATGGAACACTACTGAGTAATAAAGAGGAACAAATTACTTATACACACAACCATGTGGATGAATCTCAACCACTATGCTGAGAAAAAGACAGCAGACAAATAAGAGTACAATCATTCAATATGATTCCATTTATATGAAGTTCTAGAAGACGCAAAACTAATCTATGGTGATAGAAATCAGAACAGTGCTTGCACTGGGGAGCAGAGGGTGACTGGAAAGGGGTATCTCTGAGATGATGGAAATGTTCTATCCTTGATCAAAATGGTGGTTACATGAGTATATCCATTTGTTAAAACTCAAATGGAAGATTTTAAATGTGTGCATTTTAACATATGTAAATTTCACCTCACTTTTTTAAAAAAAGGATCAAAAAGCATAGAGACATGAACAACCTCAATAGAGGCTACTAAGAGTCAAGAAAGATGGAGAAAGCAGGTTATCTCCTTGCCACTGGGGGAACGGAAGCCCAATTTGAATGGGATGAGGAGAGAATGGGGCATGAAATAGAGCTTGTACAGGCAAGTTTTTTGTTTGTTTGTTTGTTTTTTACTTTTCTTTAAAAAAATTTTTTTCTTTATTGATTAGAGAGAGAGAGAAAGATAGAAACATCAATGAGAGAGAGAATCGACTGGCCGTTTCCTGCATGTCCCCCAATGGGGATAGGGCCCACAACCTGATCATGTGCCCTGACCAGGAATCAAACCGGCGACCTCTTGGCTCTTGGTGCATGGGTTGATGCTTAACCACTTAGCCACACCAGACAGGCCAGTTATACTTTTCAAAAACTGTTATATGCATTTCATGGTTTTCCTATTTCTGGTACTGCCAAGCTCATTATAAAGGCTTTCTCTATTCCCAAACCAACCAAGAGGTTAGTATTAGGATGAGGCAAGTTTTTTAAAGAATATCAAAAAAAGGGTAGAACCCGGTGATACACTGACTCAGTAGAACAAAAATTACTTACCTGTGAATTAAAAAAAAAACAACAAAAAACCAGGCATCATGCTAGGCACAGGACTCCCATTTCCAAGCCCGTATAAGATTAGGAATTTTAAAAACGCACTTCTAAAAACAGGGACATCAGGCAGGAGGGACTAAAAGAGGAAAATGAATTCTTAACCCCCTTCTGTTGCAGACATCAGTTGGACATTCAAGTTTCAGGAAAGTGATTTATTGTTACAATTTCATCTTGTATTTGCAAAGGACTTAATTTCCAAACGTATTTTATACTCATGTTCTCACCAATCCTCAAAACACCCCTATAAGATTCTCCACTTTAAAAAAGAGGAAATCATGGTTCAGAGCAGTTAAATGGCTTGCCCGAGGTCACATAGCTAGTCACATAAACTCACACCTTCTGATTCCAATCAAAAGATTTTTCCATTATGCCATACCCGCTTCTCTCTGCAGGATTACAGCCTCTCTCTAGTCCAGGCTAATACACATTTTATATGTGTCCCTCTAGAAGTCACCACTATTTTCAATGCAGCAAAAACCTGCAGAAACTGGGTCATTTTCAGCCACAGTCCACAAAACAAAAAGGGAGGTTGTGGGTACTCAATTCTAGAATACCTTTAATTGGTCATATCTTAAACTAGGAGCCTGAGCCCCAGGAGGACAAGATACTGCAGTGGATTTATGGAGTTTTAGCACTGCAGCCTAGGCAGCCAACTCTGCAAGTCATCCTTAGAACCAACTAATGTATTTTATCCTAGAATGTGAGCAAGAAGGCAACCCTACGACTGGCACTTTACACACTTCTCAGCAAAATGTTTTCCCTACCATTTCCCTTATTCTTATTCCCCAACACAAGAGCTAAAGAATTCCATTTATATGATCATTCTTTAATGGTTGAATCAACTCTTGCATTTGCAGAGTTATATTTTTAAGTTGTTCCATGAAAGCAGTTATCATATAAATATGTTTGGTATGTTTACAGAGAGTAACAATTCCAAAACAATACAATCCCTTAATATGCCACTTTCTTGTGTGATGAAATCTGTATATGAATGATTAAATCATCTAAATTGTTGTTTACAAGTCTAAAGATGAACTAATTTGTAGGATGGGAGACGAGGCATTACTAAGATATATTTCCTTTTATTTTTTTAAACCTTGCTTGAGAGAATAAAATTAAATTGAGCCATGTTTCCAAAGACAGAGGTAATTCAGTCTGGAGATTCAGCAGCTGGCAGCCTTGCTGCCTGATAGATTAAGGAGTCTCTAAGACCCTGCCTGGGACAGCTGGCCTGCAGATCGCCTCTTACCTGGATGCATCTGCTCCGTGCTGCTCCGCAGTTTGCTGTAGCCATGGCTCAAGGGCACCCTCTGGTAATGAGGCGGGGAAGAAGGAGGGGAGGCGAGGGGTGACATCGTGGGAGACTGTGTTTCCTGCTTCAAAGAACCAGAGCAGAGTTCAGAGACGATCACTCGAGAAGCCTGCCGCTCTGAGCTGCAGTTATGAAGTATAACACAGCTTTACTGCTGGTGAGCCGGTTGATTTAACAAATGGAGGAAATGTTTTCTCAAAAATTCAGCTGGGTTAAAAATCAGTGTCTGAGAATTTAAAAGTCTCCCAGAGAATAAAGTCTCGCCAGTACTCAGGTACTAAATTATTAAAACAAGCCTGGAACACTTTTGGTTATTCCAATAATATTTTCCTTTGGGGGAAAAAGACACTGATCACATGAAATAACATTCACACACTCCACTTCTTATCTCCTTGTGGATAGATTCAATTTTCATTCATTAATAAAGGCCCCTATTTCCTGGATTTACACTCATCAAGTCTTCCAGCAAATGAGAATATTAAAAATATTTAAATGCTTAATGCTAAATATTCTTAGAGCTTACTATGCCAAGTAAAAATGTCAGTTTTTTATTTTTACACTGAGAGACCGCAAAACAGTTAATTATGGGTGAACCACTCCAACTAACCCACTCGTAAACAATAGGATGGAGCCTTAAACATGTTACTATTAGAATCTCAATTCAAACGTGGACTTGATGTTGGACCCTAGGCAGGATAAGCAACGTAACTCTGCTACTGGGTTTCCTCCTCTGTGTTTTTTAATGCTACCAACAGAATGGTAACTTGAGAGTACCCAAGTATCAAAAAACGGTACTCTTTATCAACACAGACACTATATAGTTGATGTTAGTGTAAAAAAAATGCAATCTGAGCCCTGGCCAGTTTGGCTCAGCAGTTAAAGCGTTGGCCTGCGGTCCAAAGAGACTCGGGTTGGGTTCCCGCTAAGGGCATGTACCTTGGTTGCAGTTTGTCCCCGGCCCTGGTTGGGTTGTGTGGGTGGCAGCCACTCCATGTGTCCCTTTCACATCAATGTTCCTCTCTCTCTCTCTCTCTCCCTCCCACTCTATCTGAACAAAAAATGGAAAAATGTCCTCGGGTGAGGATAAAAAAGAAAAACAAATGCAATATGAGATACTGATTAATACTCTTCTTCAAGAAAAAGAAAAGAATATTTGCTTTGAACTGTGAGCTCACACTCACAGATTGGGTGGGCCTAACATAAACCCAGCCTGAAAAGGCTGTGTCAGTCACACAGCCAGGGCATGGACCCAGAAAGTTCCCAGAGTATCAACCATCCTGGGATAGTGAATCCTCATTCCTCTCCAAATGCTGGCGGGAAAGCATGCCAAAGAGTACTGACTGAAGATTCCTATACTCCTTTCCATATATATATCCCTGAAAAACTAGTTAAAAATGTATCAGAGTTATAAAAGCCACAGTACATGGAGTTATTTAACAGGACATGCTACACCTCATTAAATACGAAACTATAAATATAAAACTTCTGCAGCAAGACCTCAGACTTCCAGCATTATCAGGGTGAGCCATATAAATGAGTTCTCCAACTTAATTCTTTAATTTCATTGCATTTTTAAAACATTTTGATTCACCTTCCTAAAATAGAACTAATTTCTTTGCCTTATAGAAGATATTATATTGAATATAATTTCACCTGTCTGAATGATTCAATATCTTTTATTAAAAGTATGAGCTGTATGTATGTGTAACTAATGGACATAGACAACAATGCTGAAGATGGGGTGAGGTAGGGGATTGGGAGGAGGGTGTCAATGGAAGAAAAAGAGAAAACATCTGTAACAAAAATAAATTTAAAAGAAATTTTTAAAAGGGGTATAAAAAAAAGTATGAGCTGTACCTTGATGACCTCAGGGTTTACTAATGTGTAAAACTATTTACCTCTTCTTGATAGGCTCACTCCTCTGGAATTTCCCTCCCTACTCTTGTTCCTAACTTGCTAAATGTGTAATGGCAGCAGTTACCAAGATAGCATTCCAAACATGTTCCCCAAGAAAAGATTCCCTGGTGAAAGAAATCGAGTAAATACAGATCTCCAGGTTCCTTTATGGCAGGACTTCTCAAGGCATTTAATGTGCTAATGTGCACTATGAATCTCCAAGACTGAGCATTTAGTCTTCCTCCAAGAATAGGATATGAAGCAGCATTCTTCAAACATATGTAGCCAGAGAAACCTTTCCTTCAGACTTTTTTGGAGGAGACTACTTAATAAAAACTCCTAGAAGTTACATTTCTTTTTTTTTTTAATAATTAATTTATTTTTGTTACAGATGTTTCTTCTCCCTTTTCCCCCACTGATTCCCCCTCCTTCTCCCTCCCCGCCCTGTCCCCAGCTTTGTTGTCTATGTCCACTGTTCATGCACACATGCATATAAGTTCTGTGGTTTATCTCTCCCCCACCACCCCCTCTTCTGGGGATTGTCAGTCTGTACCCCACTTCAAAGAACTCGTTTGGAAATGCTGATTAATCAAATAAGTATGCTAAATTAGTGGCCTTACTTTGGACACAGTTCTACATTAAAGTAGACTCTAAAGGGCCCATGGGTGGCTCATGGTAATTTCTGTGCACTGGACTCTATTTCTTGCTACAAGGAAACATCACTGGCTCACTTCCAAGTCTTTAATTGCATCCCAGATGGTGAGATTCGCTGGAAGCTTGACAGCAGATATAAGGTGAAGTTTCATGGTCAGAGTCAAATGGACAAGCCTGATCAAACTGTTTACCTGTTTATCCTCATCATCTGTTCTTTTGAAGGTATTTTTTTCCGAGATTAAATATGGAATTTGAACCTTAGTTCCATGCAGCTCAGCCGAGTTCCCAAATCGTATCTCACTGTCAGTCTTTGACATCATAAAGCGAGGCAGCGGCAATTCTTTAGGACCAGAATCAGAGAAGCTCAAGTGAGACTTTATTTTAGAACTGAGGAAAGGGGAACTCACTGGCCAAAAGATGAATCACTTTTGAGGAAAATTCCAGAACACTAAATATACATTAAATTTTTATTCTGACTCAATGAGGACTCCTATAGTAATGTGAAGATAGAAAAATGCTACAGTTTTACCAAAGTGTTCTGACTTAACATTTTTAAATGCCATCAAACCTTCACAGACCTAAGTCAGGGTTTGGATGCATCTCCCACTTCAGCCGAAGAGAAAGGATGTGATATATAAATAAGTGACAAATGGTAACAGGCAAAATTTATATAGCATTTATGATATGCCAGACACTGTATTAAGATTTGCAAATATTAACTCATTTAATCCTCACAACAACTCAACAAGGTAAGACTATCATTAACCTTCATTTACAGATGTGGAAATAGACACGAAGGAGCTAAGTAACATCCTTAAGATCACATAGCTCATCTGTGGCAAAGCTGGCTCTTAACTAGTGCCCAGTGCTGCTGCCCTACAAAAAGGTCCTTCATTCCTAGGGCAAACTTCCTGAGTAGAACAGTTTCTTACCCTATGTCATTCCTTAAGGGATTTTCACATTCAATCTCAGTTGTCTTTTCATAATGGAATAAGGAAAATGCTATCAAGTTAAAGCAATTAGTCCAATGTTCAGCCAGATCCCTACTGTCAAAATCATCAGCCACACTCACAATGCTACAAAGAACTGATTTGCAACAGTCTGGTATATTTACTTATCTTTCAAATCTGACAAAACTATTCTGAAAACAGAAATGATGCTTTGGCACACTTCTAGTTCTCAGCACAGCAAATCACACAACACAACTCCAAAAATGGGGATAATATTGTGAATTACACATAATGATTTGCATCTGTATCCATTGTTCAGGCTAATACTCATCAGTGTGCCTTTGCGCTTCCATCAGCTCTCTGTTCCAAAAACACAGCTGCACTTCCAATGATTGATGCTGTGCTAAAGCCAGAAAACATCTTAGCAACAGCAAGCAAGTATCCTAGCTCCCCAGACAAAGAAGACCCCTGGTTCTCTAATATCCACATCGTGTTTATTTTTAGTTGCTATGTCCACATTTGATTCAAAGAAGTAGGCAATATGACAAATCCCTGCGTGATCAATCAGCCAAGGGCCCAAGAGACAATAAATAGAATAACCAATCTGGAAAATTAAACCAAGACCTTCCTAAAGAGAGGATGGCTGCCATTTTTACTGTTTTAATGTTTCCCAACCTCAGCAGCTATCCAGCACTCAAGGCAGGAATGGACTTCATAAGAAAAAAGGCAAGAGAAAAGTAAATCAAATATAAGCTAATCCTACGGTGTCTTCTCAGAGAGGTGTTTCAGCTCAGTCTGCAAAAAGGATCTGAAAAGATGGAACAAGATCACATAAATAACTTGCACCCTGATCTGCCCACGAGAGGATGGCTCTACTTCTAAGTGCTTGAGGGCAAAAAAGAAGTAAATGGCCAGCAATTGTAAGCTCCCTGACCAGTATTTTACTGGTGTTTAACAGATAACCCTGGCTGTTTAACCCATCTTCGACTAGGGTGAGGTCAGAGATGCCTAGTGCCAATATTTAAGGATGCACTCACTCGCAGGGCCATGTAAATGCAGAGTAGACACTTACAGAGCCCTGAGAGTGAGTGCCCTTTAAATTATGTACCCTAGGTACCTCTTGCCTCACCCCAGTTCAGGCCCTGGTATAACCAAACATGTACTCATAGTTGAAGCAAAGCTCTTGAACATGGTCCACTTGGCTTTCATTAGAAGGCACTCTCAATACTGGCTGTACATAAGAATCACCTAGGGAGCTCTTAAAAATCCCAATGTTCACCCAGCCAGTGTGGCTCAGTGGTTGAGAATCAACCCATGCACCTAGAGGTCACCGGTTCGATTCTCAGTCAGTGCATATGCCCAGGTTGTGGGCATGATCCCCTGTGGTGGGTGTGCAGGAGGCAGCCAGTTGATGTTCCCTCTCATCGATGTTTCTATCTCTCTCTCCCTCTCCCTTCTTCTCTCTCTAAAATCAATAAAGAAAAATAATTTTTCATCGCAATGTTGAAGCCATACCCCAGAATAAAATAATGCATTTAAAGCTCTCTAGGTCAGTGATTTTCAACCTTTTTCATCTCATGGCACACATAAACTAATTACTAAAATTCTGCGGCACACCAAAAACTGTTTTTGCCAATCTGACAAAAAATATAGATATGGTTTTTAATTCATTCACACCAAATGGCTATTGTTGTGTTGGCTATTGTCATTTTTTAATTTGACAGTCTAAGGGAAAAGAGGTCAGTGCCCCTGACTACATAGTCAGGTACGGCATGTTTTAAAAATTCTTGTGGCACACAGGTTGAAAATCACTGCTCTAGGTGATTCTCAGGTGCAGACAAGGTTGGGAACCAGGCAGGGCCTGAGAAAGATGACTTCTGTAAGAGTCCATCAAGGAGTTCCAGGTGAATCAGAACTCCAACTGTTTGAACTTAAAGAGTGACAGATGGTTAGGACTCACTCCTCATGCATAACCATTCAGCTCTTCATTCTGTCATTCAACAAACATGTCCCCGAGTGCCCACAATGCCCCACAGTGCGGGAATTACCAGATCCTCCTCCCTTCCCCTTAGTAAGCTCTAGATTAGTGAGGAAGACAGACAAAAAATTAGTCAAACTTGTAAAGGAGTATTTACAAACTCTGATAAAAGTGGTATGAAGGAGCACATGCTGAGAGAGAATAAAGTAGGGAGGGGATGTCACACAGAAGCATTACCTAACAGGTCCATTCAGTGATTACCTAACTCCCCAGGGATATGTACTTTTGTTTTGACTTACTATTTATTCTTGATTGGCATTTACAATTCTGGAAGGGTACAGATTAATTTACAGAAAACTGTTAGCTAACAAGCAATTCTTGTGTAATAACAATGCAAATGAATTTCCTCTTAGAAAAGACATAATAACCAAGTTCCAGTTGTACTGCCCTATAGGGCATTAATCAATTTTATATGTAATTTAGTAATCTTATTCTAGCATTCTTTCTTTCCATAACTATAAATACTTCTGATTCTCTTATACATTTGTGAACCAGCTTTACTATATGCTGGGTTGTTTTTTTTTTCACTAATGAATTAATTTGACAGGGCCTACTTTAGATAATAGGGTAGGAACAGTCTCGGAATCCTGAAGGATGAGAAGGAGTCAACCATAGGAAGGAGAAGGGAAAGAACAGACCACAGGGAACCCAAGAACTCCAGATAACATGGTGTTTTCCTGTAGCAGAAAAGAGATGGCCCAGAAATTGCTAGAAGGCCAGTGAGGCTGTGGGACAGATTGTGAGCAGGGTGGGGAGAGGTTTGAAATAAGGATGGAGAAGTAGGCATAGACTAGATTATGCAGGGTTTACAGATAAGTGTAGGGACTTTGAATTTAGTGATATGTATAACAGCAAACCACTGGAGGGTTTAAGGAGAAGGAGAAACAATCTGATGGATATTTTAAAATGACCACTGTTACTGCTGTGTGAGGGAAGAGAATGGAATAGAGAAGAGAAGAGGTCAGGAAACTAATAACAAAACTGCTGTGGTATCAGGGTGAGTGGCTAAGGGTGGCCCGGTGTAGTAGGGACAAAAAGATGGAAGGAGCAGGCAGAAAGACTGGAGCCACATTGTCAGGACTTTTGATGGATTATATTGGAGAGCAAGGAAAAAGGAGGAACCAAGAATGACTTCCAGTTGTTCCTCACTTGAGCAACTGTAGATGGTTGTGGAATTTACCGAAATGGAAAAGGCTAGAGGTTAGAGGTTAACACATGTATACACACAGGCACAAGTCATTCATGAAGGGTGGGACTCAAAGAAGTAAAGGTGGACTCACAACTCTCTGAGTATGATGGGGATACCACAGACTTTCAGATTAGGTTCTCACAGAGCCTTCCTTTGGCCTTCAAGATTTGTGTCATCACACAATAAGCTAATGGATTTCAAGCAACAAATTGGAAAATTCTAAGTGTCAGTTCACAGTTTGGCCCAATCTTGCTCTCATTCTTACTCAACATATGCTGACTGCAAATAACTTTTATTTAATAAATCTTTAAATGAATGAAGAAAATTCAGAATTAACTTTGAGTATACTCAAACCCTCGGAGGTAAAAGGCATCAGGACTTATAAAGCACAACAGAGAAAGCCTTATATTTGTGAAAAAGTGTTAATCCTATACACAAGTGATAACACAGGCCATCTTTCCCCCACCCCCTGAGAAACTGAACTGTAGATTTGGACACAAGTCAGGTAAAAGGCTTCAGTCTTACTTAAAATAAGCAACAAAAGTGTCCAAATTTTATTCTTTCTTGTATGCAACAAAGCAATTCTAACTTTTCCAGAAGATAAAGTTGGAATATACTACGATAAAGCTTAATGACCATTACAATGCAATGGAAACTATCAGTGCCTACCACAAATCCAATGTGATGTATGTTTAATTACAGCAAGTGACTAACAGCTCTGACTGCTATGTCTTGTAGCAATAAACTCCAAATGTGCCACTGAAATAATGCTCCATCAAGAAACTTGTTTCAAGGATTCAAATTATGTAATACCGAGGGATGCCTTTGGGTCAGATTTTTTTCCAATTTGGACAACATTCCTCAATTACAGATTACAGTCAACACCTTACTAAACACAAAGAATAATCAAGAATCTACTCTGCATAGCAATGAACAGCATGGGATCTGAAGGCTGAGCTCCTGGCTCCAAACTCTACTAGCCTTGTGTCCTTAGGCAAGTTACTCACCTCCCTAAATTTCCATCTCCACATCTGTAAAATAGGGATAATAACATTCCCACAGTAAAAGACCACCAGTGTTCACCCATAGCCATTTCTCTCTTTGCATGGAACATAAGAGAATTACATCCCCTCCAGTCTGCTCTGCAGTTAAACCAATCATGTGACAGGTTCTGCCCAATGCACTGTGAGCAGCAGTAACAGGAGTCACATCCAGGCAAATGCATGTAACTGCTAGGGTGAGAAACTATTTCTCTGTTGTGGCAATTATGGGAACAGGTGCTGTGTTGGAGGTTCCACAGGATAAGGCAGCCAGGATAACAGAGCCACCACGTGGAGGGCAGCTGCCCTAGAGGTTCACCCTGACCCACTGCAAAGCAGGGAGTGAACTTTATTTTGTTAAGGTACTCAGATTTTGGTGTAGTCTCTTATCATAGCTTATCCTAGGCAATGCAAACTGGCACAAATACCCAATTTAAGCCTTGTGAAGACTAAATGAGACAGTGCCTGCCATATACTATGCCTTTGACAAAGAATAGCAGAATGATCACAGCCTCCCTGATGGTTAGGGTAAAAGGGCTTTGTTTCCCCAAGCTATCAGAATCTTCTCAGCTCTTTGAAGTTCTCCCACAAGGCTACCATGGGTCAGCCATAAATCCTGAACCCACTTTGAGGTCTACCAGAGACTGTACAAGACAGGGGTGAACAGCTGAGTGGTTTTTATCTCAATATGAGGAAAAGGAAAAAGTTCCTGCATAGCTATGTGCACATATGAAAGTCATTTGTATCAGAGTGAATTAACAGAGGACCTCAGCACATCCCTTGAGTATTCACCTTCTTCAAACAGATCTGTAAAACCAATACTAGGCAGTATAAATGATGACAAGAGTCTGGGACTTTGCTTTTTGTTTAAGTTGTGGAAAGTGCTCAAGTACATGGTGGGTTAGGGGAAGGGATGGCAAGATAAGGAAATGTTAAATCAAAACTCTGAGAAGATAATTTCATTCTGCCAAAATTTTGGTACTACTGAAGTACTTACTAATCATCAGTATAGTGCTGTAGGAATTGGGGAATTAAAGGATGATCATAGCTGTTATGACTGGCAGGGACAAGAAAGAGAGAATGGAGGCAGTTCCATCCAAACTCTCCCAGTTACTCGTCCCCTTGTCCTGAACAAAGCCTTAAATGACATTATACGTTCCTCAAGAGGAAAATTAAACTGAATGTTATTCTTTTCCCACAGGCTCTAAAATTTTTGTCCCAATCTCTTCCTGCTAAAGAACAAAATCTATTTTAATGGCAAGTCAGTTAAAAGGAACTAATCTCAGGTTGCTCTCTGAATTTTTTTCCCCACTTAAAAAAAAAGAAACTAGGATATCTGCTAAGTTTTCTTAGTTTAGTTTACAGGAGAGTTGGAAAAAGCAAGCAGAAATTCTACAAATGCTTATAGAATAGACCTTATACCCACTAAACATGGCCTCAGAAATAAGAAACCTGCCATGGATAATAAAATATATAACTGGGAGCTACTTACCACATTTAATACTCTCTATCCTCACAGGGAGGCCAGACTGTGCTGCAGCAATTAATTTCAAGGCAACATAAAACTGAGTTGGACCAAAATAACCAACCCGCTTGGCACCACACAGTTCTGTGATCTAAAAACAGACAAGAAAAACAATGCTGAAAAACCCCATTTCATAACAGGAAAATGAGACAAGATATATTATGAAATCTCAAAGATTTCACAGTGTAGCTAACTAAAAGTCCCTGGAGAACCTATGTGTACACAGTGGTTTCTTTTTCTTCCAGTTTACAGGGAGGTTTTCAATTTGGATAATTAAATTCTACCTACTCATGATGTTTAAGGACTGAGTGACTATTCCTCCTCTTTCAACAATAAAAATAAAGGTGACAAAGGATGGCTGTTACTCTTTTTACAAAAGAGAGTGACTTTTTCAGGGGGTAGATTATGATGTATGAAGTGTAGAAAGTTAGTAGGGTAAAAAGAGAACAGATTAGTCATAACACTATCTGTGGATGATGCTATTTGATTGAAATTCAAAGTGATTATTTTTAAAGTTCTCAGGCAAAATGATTTCCTAAGCATTAAAATTATATCTTGAGTGCTCACTTCAGAGAAACAAAAAAGAAGTACTATACACACGAATATTTTCAAGATATTGCAGTCTTTCATTGGTAGACCTTAAACTAACCCAGATCCTATTGGGGGCTTAAAATAAATTAAACATTCAATGACTTTTTAAAAGTTACTTCAAAGTAATAGATACTCAAAAGTTCAAATAATACTAAGTGGGTATGAAGAATTAAAAAGCATCCTCCACTTCCTATGCCCCAGAGGAAAACACTATATATTCTTCTAGAAAGGTTCTATGCATTGTAGCACACACCTGTGTTTTTCCTGTTGTTTATTCAATATTGCATACAACAGAATACTGTATACTATTTTGCACCTTTTTTTTTTTCATTTAGCAATACTGTTTTCATGCCTAAGGACATCTCAGCCTAGATCCCCACCACCCTCAGGACAAAATCCTATCTCCTTAGTATGGCATTAAAGCCCCTTAACAACCTAGCCCTGAGCAGCTTTTCTAGTTTCATCTCTGGACACACACACACACACACACACGCACACGCACACACGCATATGCACACTCACATGGACGCACTCAGTTCTGTAGCTGCATTCAGCTTCTCCTACTGTATCTAGTGCATATGCTGCAGAAGATGGGAAATGAAATAGCCTTAAAGTCCTGGCCAGTGTGTCTCAGTTCGTTGGAGCGTTGTCCTGTACACTAAAAGGTGGTGGGTTCGATTCCCAGACAGGGCACATACCCAGGTTGCAGGTTCAATCTTCAGTTGGAGCTCTTAGAGAAGGCAACCAATAGATGTTTCTCTCTCTCACTCCCTCTCTCCTTGTATCAAAAAACAAAAATATATCCTCAGGTGAAGATTAAAAAATAAAATAAATAAATAAATAGTCTTAAAGTCAAGGTTGGTTTTCAAAAAATAAACTAGTTTTGTGACTTTGGGCAAGTTAACTTAATCTGCCTGAAACCCTCTTCATATGTAAAGTAGAACTATTCTCTCCCTCATAAGACTACTATGAGGAAAAGAATAAATAATATACTAAATGAACCTAACAGTACTTAGCAATACTCAATAATTGGTGGGTTCCATACTACTCACCTGCAACTAGAACCTCCTCACTCCCCACTAGATTTAACTTCAATGTTATTCTGTGTTGTTCCTTCCCAGGTCCCCAGGTATGGTTTATTTTCCCAGTATATTCTCTGACTATTCAAATGTCCAAAAATATCATTCACATGATACACTGTCTTAGACTTGCTTCCAAGTAAAAGGGGTGGAGTAAGTGGGGAGTATGGGTGAAACAAGCCCGACCAAGAGCTGAGAACTACTGAAGTTGGATGATGGGTTCATTCTCCTACTCCGTACTTTTGTGTACATGTGAAATTCTCCATATTCAAGCTTGTATATCTATTTCAACACTTAACACATTATATTACAATTATATGGTTTATCTTTGCCTCCCATCAAAATGTCTTCTCTCCAAGGACAAGGGATAACTTCCATTCACCTCCAAGCACAAGGTTAGGCACCCAGGATATACTCAAAAAAATCTTAATCAAGTGAATGAACCAACCCTCACAAATAAAAACTGAGTTTTACAATACAATCCCTTGTTGTGAATAAATTACACATTTTAGGTACAGGCTTGCCTGTACATAAAAAAAAAACCAACTACATTAATGTTATTCCAATATTAATATAGTTGTCTTGCAGAATAATAATGCTTAATATTAAAAAATTATAATCCTCACCCAGCTGGAGTGCCTCAGTGTATTGAGCATCGTCCCATGGACTGAGAGGTCCCAGTTTGATTCCTGGTCAGGGCACATGCCTGGGTTTCAGGCTCGATCTCGGGCGGGGGGGGGGGGGCGGGTTGTGGGAGACAGTGATCAATGTATCTCTCTCACATCGATGTTTTTCTCTCTCCTGTCCTCTCTCTCTAAAATATCAATAAAAACATATATATTTTTTTATCCTCACCTGAGGACACTTTTCCATTTATCAGATAGAGCGGGAGGGAGAGAGGGAGGAAGAGAGAGAGAGAAACATCGACATGAAAGAGACACATCGATTGGCTGCCACCCACATGACCCCAACCGGGGCCAGGGACAAACTGCGACTGAGGTACATGCCCTTAGCAGGAACCGAACCCGGGACTCTCCAGTCCACAGGCCGATGCTCTAACCGCTGAGCCAAACCAGCCAGGGCTAAAACCGTATTTTTTAAAAAAGAAATTATAATCCTTGGTATGTGAACAACTTAACAACTATATTTCAGTCAGTGTTAATTTAGTATCATTAACTCTTAGTTATTCCTTGACCATAACTACCACATAGAACTGAAAAGCTCTTAACTAAAAGTAATTGAAATTACTGCTAAAACTTTCACTATGGGACTTTGAGAGAAGCACCTGAATCTGACATTAGTAAACCACCTCATTTACCTGGGAACCTGTCCTTTGGTCCTACATACCATTAGAATCACAGCTTTATAGCCAACATAGAATAAGTGGAACTGTGACATACTAAGAACATAAGTAAAGTGAGCCCATAAGTCATTTTGTAAACCAAACCTTCAGGAGACATGCCAAGAACTTTCTGGAATACAGTCGTCCTTCAACACTTCATGCTTCGACTTTCGCGGCTTCACTCTATCACGGTTTTTTTCAAATATATTCATTAAAAAGTTGATCGAGACAGTGAAAATGATACAGCGCGCGCTCAGTTGTCTGAGTCGATTATATACCCCTGTATTACAATTACAATTACTGTACGTATGGACTGTAGGCCTATGTATTTGAGCACCCCCACAAATCCTTCAATGCCAGGTGCAACTGGTCGACCACTCTTTGTGTGTGGGCAATAACTTTTTCCAAAAAAATTGGGTATGGTGAAACCAAGCCAATTAGAGCGTGCTGTTCACTGACTGGCTATCCTATCCTCTTCCTATCCTAGCCAATGATTGGCTCAGCCTCATGCAAGTTCATTCCTCTCATACATGCTTCTACATCACTACGCATCGGAAGCATCTTTGCTCTTGTAAGTGTTTGCGATTTCTGAGAACTTTTATCTAAGCCCCACAATGGCTCCTAAACATGCTACTTCTAAGCCTTCGGACGATGAAACTAAGAGCTGGAGGAAGATGCTTACCATCCAGGAGAAGGTGAAACTCTTAGATATGATCAAAGATGGCAAGAAAATTGTGGAAGTTGCCTGCCATTATGACTTGAATGAGTCTACAGTTCACTCCATCCATAAAGATGAAAAAAACATCCATGCAAAAAAAAAAAAAAAAAAAAAGAACACCCATGCAACGGCTACTGTCTCTTTCAACAAGGAAGCAAAGTGCATCATGACAAGTCGTAATAAGTTCATAATGAAAACAGAGTCTGCCCTAGTCGTTTGGATCAGTGACAGCTGCAAGAAAAACATTCCGCTGGATTCGCTGGTCATCCAGGAGAAGGCAAAGCAGCTCTATTAATGCTTTACGGTGGATGAACTCAACCAGGACCCTCTTCTGCAACGTTCATAGATTTCATGGCAAGCAAGGGTTGGTTCGAGAAATTCCAGAAGAGGTATTATCTAAAGAGTGTCGTTGTCCATGGAGAAGCTGCCTCTGCTGACCAGCCCAGCAGAGGACTACATGAACAACACATTCCAAAGACCCTTGAGAAGGGCAAGTATCATCCATAACAGGTGTTCAATATGGACAAAACAGGACTGTTCTGGAAAAGAATGCCTTCCTGGACATTCATTTTCAAGGATGAGGCCAAGGTCCGTGGCTTCAAGACATTTAAGGATCGTGTGACTATTGTTATGTGTGGAAATGCTGAGGGATTTTTGCTCAAGCCTGCCCTTATCTACAAAGTCAAGAACCCTAGGGCCCTGAAGAATAAAAACAAGAACCTGCTGCCAGTGCATTGGATGCACAACGACAAGGGCTGGATCACAAAGCAGCTGTCATCATACTGGTTCCACAAATGCTTCATCCCCCAAATCAAGCTGTATCTCACAGAGAAGGAACTCATGTTTAATGTCCTTCTCCTCATGGGCAATGCTGGAGGTCATGTGCAAGACCTATCCTACGATGGTGTGCATATCAAGTTCCTTCCTCCCAACACCACTTCACTGATTCAGCCCATGAATCAAGGTGTTATTCGCACGTTCAAGGCCCTCTACATGCAAAAAACCCTGCAGCACTTCATTGAAGGCATGGACCTTGAGGAGAACTTCTTGCTGAAGGAGTACTGGTGGCAGTATACCATTACGACTTGTCTGAAGAACATTCAGACTGCACTGAAGGACATAAAGACGGAGACCATGAAGGCCAGCTGGAAGATGTTGTGGTCTGAAATTGTCCACAACTACAAAGGATTCACCCCAGAGAATATAAGCAACTCAGCAGTGGATAAGGTGGTTAGGCTAGCCATGATGCTAGGAGGAGAAGGTTTCACAGTTATGACCCACAATGATGTGGATGAGCTGCTGGAGACACATTCGGACCCCTTAACTGATGAGGATATGGTGGAGATGACTAAGTCTGCGAGTGAGGAAGAGGAAGAGCAGCCAGAGGTTCCTGGGGGGTCAGGAGGAGGAAGTTGGCCTTACACCATGAGAACTATTAAGGTAGTACAAGACATGATTGACGAATGGGACCCACAAATGACGTGTGCATTGCAGTTCCGGAATGCACTTGATGGAGTGATAGAACCCTACAAAAGCCTCCTCACGCATATGAAAAGACAACGCCAGCAACTGCCTATCACGATGTTCTTCAGCCACGTACCCAGACACCCACTGCCCACTCCTAGCACTCCTTAAGCAGAAGACGATGATGACACACCTGCTGAAAATACTGCACCACCTGAAGACTCTCCTACTGAGGTCGTGCCTTCAGAGGAGCAGTACCTTGCTCTTCTTTGCTGTGCAGTACATCTCTTCATCTTCATCGCTTCATCATCGAACAAGTTGTACTATTTTCATAGGTTAGTGGTTGTGTGTAAGAACTGTGTGTGTGTAGAATTAAATGTACAATAATAATATGATATGTGTAACGTCTAATATGTCTTATTTTCTCTTATTTTGTCTAATATATTGGGTAATACAAGTGTAATGGTGATTAAAGAATGTTATTTCATGTCTAGAGGGCTGTAATAATGTTAAAAAACGTATTTAGAAGGTCGTAAACAGGTTTTCTATGCTCTGTGAAAATATTCTACTTATAAATAAAGAATCCTACTTCGTGGAAATTTATATATCGCAGTAGAGTCTGGAACTGATTAACTGCAATAAACAAGGGCCGACTGACTGTATTCGAGCCACAGGAAGATAAACTACTTATAAGCCTTTAGAACTTACATGTGGAAACTCATAAGACGGAAACTTCTCAACCTCAAAAGCAGGTTAATTTTGTAAGGGCTTTTTTGTTTGTTTGTTTGTTTATTGAGGTTCAAAATGTTCTAAGTGTAAAATCTCCATGGAAAAGCTCTAAATTGTAGATAGAAATGTTTTAATGCAATCTAAAGAAAATAAGGTGGTGCTTTATCCCAGATACTTGGTTAACAGGAGATATTTTACATAACTGCTCCTTCAAACAGTACAAGTTGCCAAAGCCTTTCTCAAAATAAAGAAAAAATGAAAAGATTCATGCCTCTTCTTTAGTCTAAACTCCAAACCTGTAACACTCAGCTGGATCCGTCTTATATTACACGTTGTGCAAATTTTTAATACAGAACAAGAACCTATGCTCTGTTGTTTGTTTTCTCAGGTGGAAGGCAAGAGATGAAAAAAAGAAAAAAGAAATGGATGAAATCAACTTCCTTACAGCTTACAGATGTACACTAAACTGTCGGGGTGCTGGATATGAATCAGAAAAATTCACCGGCTATTTGAGAAGAACCTGGACAAAGTTCTGGAAGTAGATTGAAGGCCACTAAAATAGCTTCCCTCCTACCTAATTCTGAAAGATTAAGTGACTGCGCTGAGTAATCAGTCCACACCCGTTCCAGTTTGCCTGAAATAATACTTTCCTTCCTAGCTAGAATGCAGTAAATTTTCAGACCTGTTCAAAGGTTTGAATAAGCTTCTCTCTTTCAAGTATTTTTAAAGATTTCCTTTGAAAGATTTAAAAATTTGAAAAGTCTTGGTGGGAGGGGTTGAGAGAATTCACCAGTGGACCCTTTTCTATTCTTTCTCTGCTGCAGCTAAGTCCAGATTCTTTGCTCACACATCGACTGTTTCAAGTACTGCTTTCAGACTGTGCAGCTTCACACACCATCCACCACATTCCCTCCATGATATCTTATACCAAGATTAGTCCCCAGCTGAAACAGGCTTCCAGAGCTCCTTGTTCTCTTTCCTGTAAAACCCAGACTCCTGAACATGGCTTTTGAGGCCCTCCCATCTGGTCCAACCTACCTTTCCAACAAACCCCATGTCTGTCTCCTCCCCACACTGCATCTAAGGTTTCCGCCACTCCACATGCCAACCATCTCTCAACACATGAGCACCATTCAGGCCTCTGAGCACCTGGGGTATCCTGAAGGCTGGATGTTACCCAACTTCTTTAGTGACCAGGCTCATCCTTCAAATCACCTCAAGACTGATCTTATCTTTGAAACCTTAGTCGATTCCACATGGCATGTCTTCTGCATTCCCATAATCCTTTTCACTAGCTTTCTGTCATATCATTAGCCTTGTAATATAGAAAAATCGGTATTTTGATCATTGTTTTCCACTATACCCCATCTCTTTCTCATACCCCTCAAATTCCCAACACAAAGCAAGAGTATTTTTTTTATCGTTTGTATCCCCCAGGACTCATACTTTACGGTGCTTGCTATATATTCATTTGTTCAATGAATGTTTGTTGAATTGATTAGTATTCAGAGCCTGCAGTACCAACATTGTTCTTTCTCTCATCTTGTAATTACTTTTACAAGTGGCTGCTACATTGGCTTTAGTCATCTTACCCTATATAATCATAAAAGTTCCTGCACGAATATAACAGAATATTAAATTCTCTGTTCCCATCCTTCTCAGCTAGCAGGGAAAGGTTAGGGTCAAAACATGAGGAAAAGCCTCTTCCATGCTTTATTCTGGCCCTCTGCCTCAATGCTCAGAACATCTCATCGGTGCTCCAGCCACTCAGCACTCCAGAGATGTGCAGCAGGCTTCTTCTTCCAAGCCTCCTTCTATTCAGCATACCCCCAGGAGATGTCAGCTCCCAAGTGGACACTTTCAACAACAGAATTTGAAGTACATGCTTAACAAGGTGTACCTCAGCCTCCCAGGAAATAGCTGAAGAGCCATGTCAACTACCCTGGGTTTTCCTTTCCTATTCATTTATAAATTCTAAATATCAAGAGGGACATTTCAGTCCAGAGGGACCTAGGTGAGCTACTGAAGAAAATATGAACCCCCATGTCCAATTGCTCAATATTAGGTACCAAAGTATATGCCTAAGGCAGACGACCACACTGTTAAAGAGAGAACAGAGCCCTGTCCAGTTTGGCTCAGCGGTTAGAACGTCGGCCTGCGGTCCGGAGAGACCCGGGTTCGGTTCCCGCTAAGGGCACGTACTTCGGTTGCAGTTTGTCCCCGGCCCTGGTTGGTCGTGCGGGTGGCAGCCACTTGATGTGTCCCTTCACGTCGATGTTTCTCTCTCTCTCCCTTCCTCTCTCTCCCTCCCACTCTATCTGTACAAAAAATGGAAAAATATCCTCGGGTGAGGATAAAAAAAAAAAAAAAGAGAGAGAGAACAGATATTCAGTGCTCAGGCATGATTTCAGACAGAGAAGCCTACTAACACCTGAAAGTATTAATTTAAAGTGTTTTGGTCTCCTCCCATTTAAAGCACTGTGCTCACTGCTATGCTAGAAATGAACAGCGCTGAACCAAACTCACTCTCTCTCTCTCTCTCTCTCTCTCTTCCCCCTCCTTCCTTCCCTCCCTCCTTCTTTCCCTCCCCCTCCCCTAAACACTTTATTATTTACCTCCCAAGAACAGGGATATATTCTCCTACATCATCATCAGCACACCTCAGCAAATCAACATTAATATTATCATACAAGACATGATCCATTCCTTTTTCCAATCCAAAACTTAATGTTCATGCATTATTTTTGTTGTTGCTGTTGTTATGTCTCCTTAGTCTTCCTCTAGTCTAGAACAATTCCGCTCGGTTCTTCATGACACTGAATTCTTTCAAGAATCCAGGCCAGATGTCCTGCAGTACTTTCCACATTTTGGATTTGTCTGTTTCCTTGTGGTAACATTCAAGTCAAACATTTCTGGAAAGACCACCACACAGGTGATACTGTGATATAGTAAGAAGTGCATATCAGTGAGGGACACATAATGTTAGAATATCCCACCGCTGATTGTCAAGCTTAGCCATTTGGTTAAGGTGGTGACTGCCAGATCTCTCCATTGCAAAAACATTGTTTTCACATAGTACTTTGAAACCACATGAATATTCTAGCCTCTAAAAAATTGGCTTTTGAATCTGTTAAATACAAATTTTAAGTCAGTCTAGCTAAATTATATTAGCATATACAAAACTGCAATCCTAAGGCAAAATCACAACAAAGAATGGGATGGTATTTATTCCGTGAGGTAGGTGTCAGTACCTCTAGTTTAAGCACTAAAAAATGTCACAACTCAAAGTTAAGTGATATGTTCAAGGTCAGAAGTTCACAGCCAGTACTCAAACCTATATGTGCCTGGATCCAAAGCTCATGGTCTTTCCATTACATCAGGGGCTGGAAAACTACTGTTCATGGGCTAAATCTGGCCTACTGCCTGGTTTTGTATGGCCCATGTGCTGAGAATGGTTTTTACAGATGAACATTTATAATCAATTTGATGAAAGGGAAGACTAACTTTGAATTCCATTAGGTAAAATGTTACCTCAAAACCAAGAAATCCATACTTCCTACTAGCAGATCTGTATTATAAAAAAAAAACAAAAAAACAAAAAAAAAAAACTTGTACTCAATTATTATTATATTTTGAATTTTGTCAATAAAAAGTTTGTGGAAGTTTATTTTCGCTCTTATTATATAAGT